TGGATCGAGTCCCACATCGGGCTCCCTGCTCGGCAGGGAGTCTGCTTCTCCCTCTGACCCTACCCCCTCTCATGTGCTCTCTCTCATTCTCTATCTCTCAAATAAATAAATAAAATCTTTAAAAAAAAAAATTTTTGTTTTAAAAAATTTAATCGATTTTAAAGAAAAATGTTAAATACAGGTAGGACAAAGGGGGATGACAGAATTGGAGAATGTGGTATGTGTTGGAGGTTGGATGTGGCCCTGATGGAAAAGGTGTATGGGAGTGAGTGAAATTTGGGAGTTGCTTCTCCAGCATTTCTCAGGTGTCTCAGTTATTTCTGCTTTATCTGCAGAACTGACTTGTTTAACAGGTGTTTCCTGAGCATCTGCTTTGTGCAGAGAAGTGTCCTGAGAATATGAGGAGAAATCTGGTGTTCTCCACCTTGTTGTCTAAGGTAGGGGAGAGGACATGTGTTGATGTGGCTACTAGTGTGAGTGTATGATGGTAAATGCTGTCGGAGCAAGTGGCCAGGATGTCTTTGCCCATGAGGAAGGGGAGGTCATCTCTAGCTGGGGTCTTGAGGCCTTGGCTCAAACTAATGTTTTTACAAAACTACATGTCTTTCTCCCTTCTATCTTGAATCTCTCTTCCTAAATCTCCATCAGTTTTGGTGGGAGAAGGGACTGTCGTTTGTAGGCATTACTCTGAGAAGGACTGTGTCCAAAAGGAAGTCACATTCATCCTCAGAAGACAGTGGCTCCCAGAGTTCTGGATCTAGCACACCTGTGTTTAGTTGGATATTTACTTAATTGTTTTGAGTCCCAGGTTCTTCTTTACTGATGATAGTGAAGCCCAGTGTCCTTCCTGCTTCATTAGACAGCATATGTAAGAGACATTTATGATGTACATTTGTACATCCATATTATTTTCATTCTTATTAGTATTTGAAATACTGATGGTTAATGATATTGAGTGCATTTTAGGTGTTTAATTCTTTTTTTCTCTTTTTTTCCCCCTAGGTCTTGATGCAGAACTTTATTATGTGAGGAATGACCTTATTAGTCACTATGCTCTATCCTTTAACCTGTTAGTACCCAGTGAGACAAATTTCCTGCACTTCACTTGGCATGCAAAGTCCAAGGTAAGAGAGTGGTCAACCAGAGATGCCAAGACAGGACCACTCAGGCCCAGAGGCCGATGCAAGGGCTGTATCTGAGGGATGGGCTGCTGTCTGTCTAAAAGGGTCTGTGGGTGGTGGGCTGTGGCAGTACTGGGTCTTTTCAGATTTATGTTTTAAATCTTTAGCCTGTTCTTTTTTTTTCTTTGTTAAAGATTTTATTTATTTATTTGGCAGAGAGAGAGAGCACAGCAGGGGGAGTGGCAGGAGAGGGACAAGCAGACTCCCCACTGAGCAGGGAGCCTGATGTGGGGCTCGATCCCAGGATCCTGGGATCATGACCTGAGCCAAAGGCAGATGCTTACCTGACTGAGCCACCCGGGTGCCCCTCTTTAGCCTATTCTGTTAGACTTTCTCAAGTCCTTTAAAATGAAGGTAGCCATCATTTATGTGACTAGCTAATGACAGAACACTTACATCCTTTCAGGCTTTTCAAGGAGGGATGCAGATCTAGTTTGAAGAGGGAACAGTTGGACCTGCTAATGACTGCTATTACTGTGAACTGATAACAGTAGAAGATGGGGAAGTGGGCTAGGTGTTTTGGACATGTTTGATATAACGGATACAGGTCTGCCATTTATAGAGAAATGGTAAAAGTGGGATACAACAGATGCAGGCACCCATGTGTGCTGAGGCTAAGCTCCTTTAACAGTAAGGGACCTTCTGCCTGGCTTACTTGTTGCTAAATTCTTCACATTTTCTCTGACTGACTCCATGAACATAAGTTTTCTCATAGGTCAAAGAATGGGGGCTGAGGGTAGAGCCCACCTCCTCCAACCAACTTTAATTTCTTTTATTAGCATTATAATAAACAATAGGATTTTATTTGGGAAATAAAAATAGTTTTGCTACTAAAATCTCTTCGAGTTTTTTTTTTTTTTGAGTATTACAAAGTGGTGTCTGTCCTGACATTTGTGGCAAAGTCGTTTAAATTTGATGACTTTAACAAGATCTTTTTATCTACTTAGAAAACAGTAAAGAATATTAGGAAAATTCAAGTATTAATAGAATTGTTTTTACAACTATTGAGACTTTGTAGATCTATACCCCAAAGTAATCATTGTTTATAGTTTGGTATACTTCAAACTCATTTTTTAAAAATCTTTTTAAACAAAAAGGGGATTTTATCATACCTATATTGTACAACATTTTTCCCCTTACTAATACTGTATTTTGGCATCTTCCCATTTCTCTACTTGTAGATTTAACTCATTCTCTTTAATGGCCTTATAGTATGATATTATATGGATATATGATTATTTCTTAAGGGCCTCACTGACTCATGGATTTTTGATAGCATTTCACTATTTCAAACAATGCTTCCTTTCACTGTTAGAGATAGTTTCCTTCAGTTCATCTGGCAGGCAAAATCCATGGCACAGGGATAGGGAAAACAGTGGGTAGTTCATCTTTTGTTGATGTTTCTACCTTTGTTATTGATGAATATAGAAACAGAAAAAATGTGTGTGCAAATGTGTACCTGGATATATGTATGTATGTATGTGTATGTATATATAGGTATATATGTGTGTCTGTATACATGCATTGAGAAATTTTTGTGCACTTGTGGAATTATTTTTGAGTAGTAAGTTATCACCAAGTAGTGAAATGACAGGGTCAGAGTGTGCATGTTTAAAATTTTGGTTGATATTGCCAAATTATTTCTCCCTTCCCTCTCCCAAGATGGTAGCAATGAACCAGCGTTCCTTGCCAAGTGAATAGGGGTGCTTATTTCTTCAATTCACTTATTTTTTTTTTAAAGATTTTTTTTTTATTTATTTATTTGAGAGAGAATGAGAGAGCATGAGAGGGGGGAGGGTCAGAGAGAGAGGCAGACTCCATGCTGAGCAGGGAGCCCGATGCAGGACTCGATCCCGGGACTCCAGGATCATGACCTGAGCCGAAGGCAGTCGCTTAACCAACTGAGCCACCCAGGCACCCTTCAATTCACTTATTAACACTAAATATTTTAAGTATAGTTGTTTGCTAATCAGATGAGTAAAAATGATTATATAACTACCCATATATTCATATTATTATTACAGTTGATCCTTGAATAACATGGGGGTTATGGGATACTGATGCCCCCCTGTAGTCGAAAATTCATGTATAACTTTTGACTCCCCCACACTTAATCACTAATGGTCAAATAACACATATTTTATATGTTATTATATACTGTAATTCTTACAATACAGTAAGCTAGAGAAAAGAAAATGTTAAGAAAATCATAAGGAAGTGAAAATCCATTTATGGTATTACACTATAAAAAAAAAATCCATATAAATGGACCTGTGCAGTTCAAACCGGTGTTATTCAAGGATCAGCTATATATATATATACTCAAGCATACATTACAGAAACATTATACACACATATACATACAGGCATTAAAATATAGCTGCAGTAATGCGATTAAAGTTGACTTAGCTTGGATTCTGGGTAAAACATGTGCCTTGTCTGGAGCACCTCAACTATCCAACATTGTTGCCTTGGGGTATCCAAATATGGGCCTGCTTTTTTAGTGGTGGATTCATCTTTAGGGTAAAAACTGCAAAAACAGAGGTCAAGAGAGAAAATTCATGTGAAACAATTAAGAACATTTAGTAAATGGTAACCTGGATATGCTGAAGTGCCAAAAGATACAGATAATTCAGAAAAGGTTCACATGAGACATTTAAATCTGAGATATGTCAGTTTCAATGAGTAGGCACCTGAACTCTTCAAAGAAACTGCACTAACACATTTTCCAGTATTCTTATATAACATTATGTGACATTATTTAGGGGTGGGGGTAGCTTTTAATTTTGATATAAGTTCCAACATAAAAATTACAAGAATAGTACAAAGAATTCTCCTATATTGTTTACCCAGATTCACTGATTATTACTGGTTTGCTTCATTTGCTTACTTTATCATTCATTCTTTCTCCCCACCCTCAGGCACACACACTTTTTTTCTTGAACTGTATGAAATGAATTGCAAGCATCCTGTCCCTTTAGCCTTAAGTACATCAATTTATATGTTCTCAGAATAAGTGATCAAAATCAGGAAACTTAACATTGATACAATACTGTTATCTAATGTATAGTATTCACATTTCATCAGTTATTCTGATGGTGTTCTTTATAGGTCTTTTTTATTTGATTCAGGATCATGCATGCAGTTGGTTGATGTACCTTTAGTCCTCTATTAATCTGGAACATTTCTTTGGCCTTTTTTTGTGTGTCTTGACCTTGATATTTTTGAAACACAGTGTCCCTCAATTTGAGTTGTCTGAGGTTTCCTTATGATTAGATTCAGGAATGTCTCTTTGCTGGTAACACCACAAAAAAGCTGTCCTTCACAGTACACATGATATCAACTTATCCCATTACTGGTGATCTCTGCTCACTCAGTTCACTAGGTTCCTCCACTGTGAAGTTTTCTCCTCTATAATGAGTAAGTAATTGTGGGGAGATTTTGTGAAATTATATTTTAAAAATTCCATTCTTTATCATGCTTTCAACTGCTAGTTTCGGCATCTGTGTTTAGAATTAGTTTTCACTTTTTAGCCAGTGCTGTCGAAGAGATTCGTATGTTCCCTCTCACTGGAAGAGGTCAGATCCACATTCGGTAAATATTAGGTGGGAGTATTGTAGAAGGAATGGGAATTCAAGCATTTGTGGAGTAGCTGGTCTTGAATTTTAAGTTCCCTTGCTACTCTGAGATCCAGTGTTTCTGTGAACATATTTCAGGCAGAGAAGCTTCTTATATTCTCCAAAAAATTGATACTTAATCCTTTGTTACTTTTCCTACTTTTAATGCTGATGAATATAAAAACACAATAATACATATATTTTGAAGTAGTGAAAAATCTAATGAAATAGAGAATCTACTATTCTGTTGACCTTGAATAGGGTGTGATTATTTCTGGGCCCACTTAGGAAAAAATAATGATACATCATGCGAATGGTTCCTGGGCAATTATATGGATAGTGACTTGTGAATAAAAAGGCAGTGTGGCATGTGGCAGTTGTAATTGAACAGAATTCAACCTTCTCTTAACCTTTCCTTTTTAAAAATACACATACATTGGATGTTTTTATTTGGAGTGAGTTTCAGGGATCTGATATTGCTGATAGTGGATGTCTGAGGAATTTTAGGAGCCTGCCACAGGAGGAAGTTGGAGTGGAGGAGAGTAGAGAGAGGAAAGGGTTCAGCTGAATATACATATTTGAAAGGGTTCAGATGAATATATGTACTTGTACTGGCCTAGGCACAGCGTGGGTCAGGAGGCGCCCTGGTATAGCTCTGTGGTCCTTCTAAATTCTTAATGAATAATTTCTAAACTACTTCTGTGGCAGGTTTTAAATACCATCCTTAGTGCACATTTGAGCTACTATTGCTGGTATGATATTCCTGGTAAGGCGGAAGGAAGTTCCCTGACTTGTTGGAGGGCATCACCACCTATTTACACATCTAGCCAGAATCCTAGAGCGGGGGCTATACTTCTTCTCCTACACCTACCAAGTCCAGTTGATTATCTCTCATAATTATACCTTAAATTCATCTCCTACCTCTTTCTGGACCTGATGCCCCATCTGTAGTTTGGGCCTTCATTGTTTCTTAACGAGATATGGAAATAGTTTTCTAACTGGTCTCCTTGCCTCTGGACTGACTTCTTGCTGCACTGCTGCCGCACCTCACCCCCCACCCTCTGCCCCCCAAAACTACTCCAGGGCTCTCAGTTGCCACCAGAATAAAGTTCTGATTTCCTAGGAAGCCTTTATGATCTTGTTTCTGCCTTTCTTTTCTACTTCCTCTTCAGCTAGTTGTTTAGTGCCATTTTGTTTTGCAATGTTTTGAATGCTCTGGACTCTGTTACATTGCTGCTGTTTGCACTGCTAGAAATGCCCTTTCCCCATTCTTTATCTCTTGAACTCCTGTTCATCTCATAAATCTCAGACCTGGTGTCACCTCTC